TTTAGCGATTTTGAAAAAGTAATTATCTTTTAACTTTGGTGTGACCGCGTTAAATTATTTCGATATCATCTATTCCGTTTCGCCACCACATAATTTAGTACTACACTTCCATGTAACCCGCCATCAATTTCAGTTCTCAAGTCAATTAAATAAATTGGTATTAATATTCAAATTCAAAAATATAATAAAAAAAACACTACAAATGTACATTAGAAAAAAGTAAGTCAAAATGTAAAAAAAATCATGCAAAATAAAACATTACTATTGTACATTTCAAAAGTCAAAATGAAAATGTTAATATATCACATTTTTACATGATTTTTTTGGATATTATCCTTTTCGGAGAGGAGACAATTCCAAATTTGTATGAATCATTAAAATCAGTTCAGCGGTTCTTAAGTTATAAGCGTAGTAACTAACACAACTTTCATTTATATATATAGATAAAAAAATTAACTGGAATATTTCTAAATCCTTCATAAATTACAAAATAACGTTATTTGACTACATCAATGAGAAAATTGTGTTATGGACGTTTTTGACTAGATCGAATCCTTTATTGGATTATATCGCAATGCCATTAGAATACTTTATATTACAATAATGGCTGACTAGGCTTGTCACCGTTACCAAATCTCACACACATACACATACACACAGTCACACATGTCTACTGGAAATTTCTGATTACATGGCGGATAATTGTTTGCGTTGCGTTAGTCATACGCTCCAGTGGACTTCAATACTAATCCGATCGTCAAAGCAAAGTTAATGAATAGAAACGCTGACACAAAAGGCCAGAAACTCCAAGCCTCCCCCTCCTCCCCCCATTCTGACCCAAACACGACTAAAGAATGTGTCATAATTATAAATGCACATCGGTGGTCTACATTTATGTTAATGGTTGGCAAATGTGTCTGTCACACACAAACACACAAAGCTCCTTCATGTCTGTGTATGGAGATGTGTGCTCTGTCATGTTAGATAAACATGCCGCATGTGAACATTAAATTTATTTATTTTGCCTTTGTTTTTAGTTTATTTTATTTTTATTCAAATATTCGCGTGCCAGTATTCTTTATTGTGTTTTTTGTTTACATTAACAGTAAAACCTTTTGAATGCGAACAGACATACATTTGTTAGAATGTTGACAATTCCTGAGAGCATTACATTATTGTTGACAGAGTAAATAACTTACATTTGTCACTATTGTGTTGTAACCGTTTTGAGGACGTGAGATATAGACTTTGGTGAGGTTTTACTGCAAATGTGACAGTGTATTTGAATAGTATGTTTGACCTTTAGTTTTTCCTATGAAGATGAACTCAATCTAATGATGATTTATTTACATGTCCAATACTTACATAAGTACGAACATGGGATATTGGATACAAATCGGTGAGTGTTTTTTGTTTGTGAGAATACATTAAATGCTTTTTTTGACTGGCTTAATTCGTCGGCTGTCGTCTTTGTAAAAGAACAAAGGAGGGAGGGGTGAGCAAGTACAAATTATGGGCCGAAATTGGACTAAGTCAACCTAAAACTTCTTTGTTCATTTACGAAGAAGCCAGCCTATGACTTAAGCCATTCAAAAAAGAAAAAAAAAAACGTTTTATATATTCTCACCTTAACTCTGCTATGAATTACAAGAAGATGGCATTTCGTCATCTAATATGTCTGGTCGGAATTTTCTTTATGAGTCCTGTATCAATTGTTGTAAATTGTGACTAAAAGCGCCTTATAAACACCTTTCAAAAAAAAAAAAACTCGAAAAAATATCGCTGAAATGAAAACCTTTATGTGGGGCTGGGTTAGTAATTTTTTGCCATAGGCTGTAGTAACGATTCCGAATTTTAAATACGAAATTTGACGCGATTCCGGTGAATAATGTCGCTAATATCATCAAAATATCGAATAAAGGGAGGTACCGTCGTATGGGGGCTATACTAAGACCTGCATGTAGTACCCATTACGAATTTCAAATACGAAATTTGACGCAATTCCGGTGTGGGAATTGTCGCCAAAAACCAGGAAATACCGAATATCTCGGGGTAGAATTATATGGGTGCTATACTAAAATGTATACATATATAGACAATTCTCCTCCAGGGGATAGAAGACTCAGAGGTAACTCCTTGTGTGGATTTTCAGACTATTCCATTGAAAAATATGGCTAAAATCAACAAAATACCTCAAATCGTAGAGCACCCTTGGGCTCTCGTGGACCTATATAGACAATTCTTTTCAGGGGGTTAAGTATTCAGAAGGAACTCCTTGTGTGGATTTTAAGCCAAAAGATGTGGCTCAAATCATGAAAATATCCAATATGGGGGCCACCTTTGTATGGGGGTTATACGATTCTCTTTCAGGGGCTAAATTACTCAGAAGGAACTCCATTTGTGGGTTTTCAGACAATTTCATCTGTATCTCCCTATATTCGGTATTTTAAAGATTTTAGCTACATTTTCAATGGAATTATCTAAAAATCCATAGTAGAAGTTATTTCTATGCACTTTAGTCCCTGGAAGAGAAATGTCTGTATAGGTGCACGATACAGCGTATAGCCCACATACAACGGTACCGCCCGATATTCGGTATTTTGATGATTTTGGCGACATTATTCAACGGAGTTGTTTCAAATTTCGTATTTAGATTTCGTAATGGGAACTATGGAAGTCTATGACAGAAAATTGTCTATGAAGGTTCAGGTCTTCGTATAGCATCGACATAACGGTACCTTCCGATATTTGATATTTTGATGATTTCAGCAAAAATATTCACCTGAGTTTTTTCAAATTTCGTATACGCCACGTCTTCGTATAGTCCCCAATATAACGGCTTTATTCGGTATTTTTAAGATTTTAACAGATTTTAACGGATTTTATTTTTTTTTGAAAAATTTCAAATTCGTTCCAAATGATGGAGGGTATTCAAAGTTGAAATTTATTGTTTTTTTTTTTTTGTTTTTGTAGAAGAATAGCGAAATGGAATTTGCAGCTCATCAGGTATATTTGGTGTAGGCGATGGCTTACAAGGGCCTTATTTGGAACTTATTGCAATTAAGCATATGCTAATAAAACACCAGAAATCCTCCAAGATCGGCTGAACTTCTACTAGCAAATCTTTGTATACAACAATGTTCCAAAGTATGCACCTGTTATAGTGCTGCTGCAGGAAGACGGGTTAATGGCTCTGAACGTTCAGACGGCAAATTCTAATTGGCTGCATACCTCGTGAACAAAATGCAGGTCGCATTTTTTATCCGATTGAGATGAATTTTCCAAACAATATTTGTTTGGCCCAAGGAGGAACCCTATTGAAATTGGTAAGAATCGGTTCAAATTTAGATATAGCTCCCATACCGACCGATTTCGGGTTAATTGTGCTCCAAATGGCCAATGTCAGTTCAAATGACCCGAATTTTGGTTCATCCGATCGAATTCAGTGTAGAAAAAATCGGTTTAGATATTGCTACATCTCCCATATATATGTTTCATCCGATTTGGTGTTTAAGTCCCTCACATTCGTAATATGAACTCCACAACAATGGTATCTGGTACCAGATATCAGACAGAGTCCAGATATACCTCTGCCAAATGTTATCAAGATCGATTCAGATTTGGATATAGCTTCCATATATATATTCAACCGAATTCGGGTTAATTGTGCTCCAAATGGCCAATATAAGTCTAAATGACCTGAATTTTGGCGTATCCGATTGAATATAGTCTGGAATCAAGTACATCAAATTGGGTGAAAATCGGTTCAGATATAGCCAAAGCTTCCATATACATATATTTCATTGGAAATACCTCTGCCAAATTTTATCGAAATCGGTTCAGATTTGGATATAGCTCCCATATATATTCAACCGATTTCTGGTTAATTGTGCTCCAAATAGCCAATATCAGTCCAAATGACCAGAATTTTTGCACATCCGACCGAATTCAATCTGGAAACAAGTACATCAAGTTTGGTGAAAATCGGTTCAGATATAGCTATAGCTCTCATATATATGTTTAATCCGAAGTCCCTCACATTCGTATTATGCACTCCACAAGAATGATATTTAGTATCAAAAATCAAATACAGCTCAGAAATAGCTCTGCCAAATTTTATTGAGATCGGCTAAGATTTGGATATAGTTCCCGCATATATATATTATCCGATTTCGGGTTTATTGTACAAATAATGGCTAATATCAGCACAAATGTAGTGAATATCGGGACGTACGTTTTCATTTGATGGAAATCGGCTCCGATATATATTTTTGAATATAATCCTTTTCGAAGTGATATCATGCTCTCTATAGCAATGCTATTTGGTATAAAAAATAAAAATGTCTCCGCCAAATTTGGTGAAAATCAATTCAGAATTGGATATGCCTCCCACATAATAGGTTCCTCTGAAACCAAATTGTAACTGCTCAAAGCCAAAGGTTGATAGGTGGCATAATCTACTTAAAATAAATTCCCAATATAAATTCTTTTGTTACGGGAGCTCTACTAAATATACATGCAATTATAGGGCCCGCCCGACTTTCGACTTTTGTTTACTGGTTTTGAAACCAGATTGGTAGATCTAATAGTCCTTTAAAAAATATATTAAAAAAACAGGATAATGGTCCCTTCGGAAATAAATATAAAAAATCCAAACAAGAGCTCTGAAAGTCCTTCAAAATAAGTAAATTTGAATAAAAAATTAAAAATTTCGTAAAACATAACAATTCTATAAATTTATTGTTTTTTTCAAGACCCAATATAAAAATTCCTTAAAAACTGTTACAAATAATGAAGTGTATAAATAAAACGCCTTTCCCCAAGGACGTCCCCATTTAAGAAGATTATTTTTGAAAATTATATTCAAATCTACAACAACCCGCTTTAAATGCTGTTATTCTTGAATATGAGCACTAAAAGTGAAGATAAATGAGAATAATTATCACAGAACGGCTTTTCAGTTTAGCGGTTCTTAATTTTAATTGCAATTTTCATTTTAGTGCAGTCTCGGCATAAAAATAATACCACACAGCCAAATAACAACAACAGCAGCAGTATAAACGACTCTAGCAAATCTGTGAATTGAATTTGTGCTAAAAAGAATACAAGAACAACAACAACAACAATAATAAGAATATTTTTAATCTCTCAGCGTTAATTAATCGTTCGTTTTGTACATTTCGTTCGTCCGTCCAGCAGCAGTAGCAGCAAGAACGCCAGTAGTCCGGTTGGCTGTATTGTGTCTAAAGTGTATTTGAAAAAATTAAAATAAACAGCAACAACAACAAAATACAATAAAAAAAAGGAATTTTGCAAAGTAGAAAAATAACTTAAAAGTACTTAACAAAACATTCACACTCACATACAGAAAAGTCGACAGACAAACAGACATACAGCTACATGCTGATATATTTACATTTATACAAAAGTTTAAAACCGGCACTTGGCGATGGTGGTGTGAAAAGGAATCAAGGTGTTAAATTTCAACATCCACACATACATTCACACAAATCTACACGGAGTGCATTCCTCCGCTAAGCTGAATCACAGAAAACGTGGGAGCCGGCTACAATCGGGCGTATACGTGTGCAAAATTGCATTGCAACAACAAAAAGGAAACACAAAACTGCATTCGAAAGCCCCTTTTTAGAGGCGGCCATCGAAGTAAAGTGGACGTGTGTGTGGTTGACGGATTCCGCAGACATTTCGTCAATGCGTCTCAACAAGACATACTGGCGCGCCATAAGGCGTTATTTTCTGGTTTTCACGGCAATTGCATTTCTACCCCTGGCTCTGGTCTATTTGGTGCGCAGTGAGCAAATCTACAAAATCAAGGGTTATGAGGTAAGTCTTAAAGTTTAGCCATCCAACCAACCCTCCATCTTTCATCCAGCCATGCATCTATTGATCCAACCATCCAAGTAGACGTCCGCATTGTTTGTTTGTTGGCTTTTGCTTCTTTTGTTGTTTTTTGTTTCCTCTAAATTCTTGCTTTCTTTCCTACCATGCTTTCAATAACTGCAAACAAAATGTAAAGTAGCTTTTCAGTTTTTCATTTTCTTTTGTTTCAAGTCTAACACAGTAGACGCTCCTAAGCAAACAACGAACATATGTAGCCATAGCCATATGTGTGTACATAAGAAAGTGAGTGTTTGTGCGTGGGTGGGTGTGTGTGTGTTGTATATGCCTGGGGTGCGGGGTAGTCGTGCAAAAGAGTTTCTTTCATTTTTTTAGGGTAGCTTTAAATTATTCCTCAAACAAGTCTGAAATAAACAAAAAAGGAAGCAAACATTCAGACTAACTTGTCTTTGTGTGATTGATAGGATTGAAATGCGTACATATGTATATATCACAGGTGATGTTTATGAATTTTTGAATATAATGAAAAACTAATAGGTTTACTACATACTGTTATATGGTAATGATGTGGGACATCTTAAACACATAATTAAGAAACCTACGAATTAATAGAGAATTAATTTTGTCTTAAAAAAAATCAAAAACCAGGATAAAATTTTCAAAGACATTCAAATCCAAACTTTCAACATCAATAATTATTGTCCGATTATTCTTCAAAAAATAAATTGAGAAAATCAACTGCTCAAGAGCTGCAGTTCTAAAAAAATAAGTTCGACTGAGCCGAATTTTAAATACCCTCCACCATTTGGAAGGAACTTGAAAAATCTCAAAAAAATACGAAAAATACCGTTACGGAGGCCATGCAAAGACGTGGACCTGTATAAGTAATTTTTTGTCATAGGCTGAAGTGCCCATTAAGATCTTCAAATACGAAATTTGAAAGAATTCTGGAGAATTATGTAGGTTAAATCATAAAGATACCGATTAAAGGGAGGTACCTTTTTATGGGGGCTATATGAAAACGTGGACCGACGTGGTCCATGTAGAAAATTTAAAAAATTTAACCTTAAAATTTTAACCCCCTATCTCAATTCGTTCGAAAGATTGCATGATCAAAACAGACAGACAGACATCTCGTCTTCGAATTTTACGCTGATCCAGGGTATATCATGAATATTTCTAGGATTTTCAAACGGAATGACAAATATAATATACCCTCCATAAAATGGTAGAGGGTATAAAATAAATCTAAATTATCTGTGATATTCCTTCAAAAAAATATATTCTGATAGCTAATCAAAAACAACAAAATCTAATAACTATTTTGATGTATAAAAAAATAATTAATTAAAAAATGTCCGTGAAATACTATAAATTCAAGAATAAAACAAAAATACAATTGTAGAATCGAAAGTCCTTCAAAAAATAAATTTAAAAATCCACGGTTACAGCTCTGATAGACCTTCAAAAAATGTTTTCAAAATTCCAAAAAAAAAAAAAAAAAATAAATAAATAAAAAAAACAGACCTTGAAATCCAAATATTCAAATCAATAATTATTGTTCTGAATATTCTGCAAAATATAAATGGAGAGAATCAAGTGCTATAGCTCTGGCAGTGACAGTTCCTGAAATAATAAATCTAAATCATCTGCTATATTCCCTCAAATATAAAGAAAATTGCAGAAAATACAGAGATGGATATGCTTATTTGAAATGACTTTCAAGAATTAAACAAAAATACAATTGTAGAATCGAAAGTCCTTCAAAAAATAAATTTAAAAATCCACTGTTACAGCTCTGATAGACCTTCAAAAAATGTTTTCAAATTTCCAAAAAAAAAAAAAAAAATAATAAATAAATAAAAAAACAAACCTTTAAATCCAAATTTTCAAATCAATAATTATTGTTCTGATTTTTCTGCAAAATATAAATGGAGAGAATCAAATGCTTTAGCTCTTGCAGTGGCAGTTCCTGAAATAATAAATCTAAATCATCTGCTATATTCCCTCAAATATCAAGAAAATTGCAGAAAATGCAGAGATGGATATGCTTATTTGAAATGACTTTACATTCTTAAAAGCTCTGATTGTCTGTAGGAAACATATTTTAAAAATCCGTAATCAACGGTCTGAAGTCACTTTTCTTAAAAAAAATATAAAAATCTACAATTAAGGCTGTGATATAACTTCAGGAAAAAATATTCGAAATCCCCAAAAAAATCACAACAACAGATTTATAATCCTTCAAAAAAATATCTGCAAAAAATTATAAATTCAAAAATTAAAAAAAAAAACAATTATAGATTCAATAGTCTTTCAAAAAAATAAATTTAACAACTAAAAAAACAGTAAGTTCGGCCGGCCCGAACTTTGAATATATTGTGGTCTATATGAAGACGCGGACCTGCATAGGAAACTTTTGTCGTAAGCCATTACAATATTGAAAAACGAAACTTGAAAAAAATCCGTGAATAATGTTATAGTTATAGAATAGTTAAAACCATCAAAATACCGAATATGGGGAGGTACTGATATATGGGGCTTGTACGAAGGCCTGGACCGGCATAGACAATTTTCTGTCATAGACTGTAGTTCCCATTACGAACTCTAAATACGCAATTTGCAAATAACGTCCCTAAAATCGCCAAATATCTAATATCGTGGGGGCGGGGTACCGTTTATGTGGGCTATACGATATCTTGAACCTATATAGATAATTCTCTTCTAGGGAATAAAGAAATTCTGGTATGGAGTTTTAGATAATTCCATTGAAAAATGTTGCTAAAATCATCACAATACCGAATATAGGGAGGTACCGTTATATTGGGGATAAACGATATCGTGGACCTATATAGACAATATCTCTTCCAGGGGGTAAAGTACTCAGAAGGAAATCCTTACGTGGATTTTCAGACAATTTTATTGAAAATTTTGACTACAATACCGAATATACGAATATCAGGTGCCAAAATGGATAATATTGGTCCACACCATCAAGTGCCTCTCATACAAAAAGTCAAAATTTTGAATAATTATAACTCTTAAAAAATATGATGTAAGAGTCCGATTGTCTTCAAATTTCACACATTCTACTATTTTTATGAACCCAAGATCTGGTAGTAAGACGGAATATATCGGTCCACTCCTTCTGGTACCTCCCCCATAAAGTCTCAAAATTTGGAATATCCATGAAGCTCATAAAAAGCGAAATCAACATCCGATTCCATTCCAGACTGGGATCATCTCAATATTTCCATCAACACAAGATCTGTTATAAAGATGGTAGAGATCCGACCATTTTCAAGATTTTGAAAACCAAAACGATCAAAGAAGGCGAAATAAGCATCCAACTCTCTACAAATTTCACACATACAAACATGCTATATATCTGCGAACCCCTTCTGGTACCTCACCCACAAAGGACACAATTTTCAATACTTTTTTCTGTCATAAATTGCGAAACAACTCAGCGATTCTTTACAAGTAGCTATTTCTAAATATATGTCTCTCAACCAGAATCTTGAGATGAATATGGAATTTATTATTTCCCATAAATTGGATATAAATGTTCGATTTTCTTATATTTTTATAATAATATTTATATCATATTTTTTAGGTCCTATAGGAAATGGACAATATTGACCCACTCTTTCAAAACTCACTCCATAGAGGGTCAAGAGTTTAAAAATTCATAACAGAAGTCTAAATATTTTAAAATAATCGAACATTGGCTGAGGGTATGCAGCAATCGGCAAACCCGACCGATACTTTTCTACTTGTTTAGATCTAAAATATTACATTTAAACTATTTTGAACAGTGTAAAAATTCCTCCTTAACCATAATAACATCCATTAGCTTAGTTTTAATTTTGTTCAATAAATAACAAATAATTAAAATATGACATTAAAAATAATGAATCCATCATTAAAAATAATTTACATAGTTTATTGCCAATCCAAAACAAGGCAATTGGGATTACAGTTCCCAATTTCTCAATTTTGTTTATTTCACATAACAACATTGTAAATTGTCCTATCAATTTTGAATAGTCAATACACGCACACACACACACACATGTATGATTGTGCGTGTGCATACTCGTGGACTATTGAAGTATGACTTATTTAGAAATAACGATTACATTTGTTACTTATTCGTCACGTCCAACCATTAGGACAATTACCGTTGTTATGGTCTTGTTTAGGCATTTCAAATTTAAATTTAATCAATTATTGATTTATTTTCGATCCAAAATTTGAGTAGATAAACGTTGTTAGGGGGGTCATGTTTTAAATATTTAATATCCATTTTGGAATATTTTGTATAAAGTTATCATGCAGTAAAAACATGCATTTTGAGGGTTGAAGTTTGTGGGAGATTCCGGCCTCCCACCCTGACCACCTCTCTATCCATAAAACTGAAGGTGTAAAAATCACAAAGCCAAAGAATACTTCGTTCGTTATACCAATGACTGTATAGAGTAGTTTGTTTGTATGTATCACTCTATAATCTTGTGGAATTCTTTCAAAATATTGTTAAAAGAAAATGATTAAAATTCAAAGGTATGTTTATGCCATCAATTTGAAATTTAAAACGAATTAACGATTAAATTCTATTTCATTCGATTGATCTGATTTGTATGCTATGTGTCTGGCAACTATGAAAACAATATTTTTTTTCCATTTATATCATCAGCAGCAGTGGCAGCAGAAGAAACATTTATTTTGAAATAAATTTTGTTCGTTCTTTCTACAACTAAGCGGGCCGCTTTGATACAAATCCCCATACATACATACATACATACATACCTCCATACACATCGACAGAAAAACCAGAACGAAAACATATTTCTTGTTGTTGGCAATCTCAAAAGGTGTTTGATTGCCACATTTGTTTCCCTGCGATTACAACTAAATGAACAACACTTTAGATTCCATAAATTATTAAAAATGACGGAAAGCACAATGCATTTTCATTGACTTAA